ATCACATTAGCTTAAAATTCCCTTTAGTTACTTATTTTTATGAAATTGGTAGGTAATTTAATCTAGAAATTGGAATTACTTTTTCAACTAGTACTGTACAGTTTCCAGTTTCTAAATGTTTTAAGGAGAGATACTAACACTAAATAAGGTAGTAGGCAAAATTAAACTTAATATAAATTTCTTGAGGGATGTGTACATATATTAATTTCTGTTCTACCCATTGTAGGGGCAAGAAGGATTTCCTGGAGAAAGTGGACCTAAGGTATCATGTACTTCATCATATAGAAATCAGTCACAAACACTCCTGAAGTTAGGAAAAATACCCTAGGCCAGTAAATAGACAGCTAATGGAAGATAAATGTTGTACCTCTGTGAAAGAAAGGAAAAAATAGCCAAAGTATTCCAAATTTCAAAAATCATACATTTATATGGAACTTACTAAGACTTTAAAACAATTTTATTTCTAATTTTTTAATTGATCGGTAAAGGATGAAAAATTATCCTTTTTTCTCAGATATACTTTTTCCTCTCTAGCATATGTACTTTCTTTTTTTTTCAGAGCCAAGTAAAATATAAATTATTATCTGATTTTTTCTTAGCTCAATGTTCTCATTTTTATAAACCATCTTTATATAATAAGTTAACAATGATATCCTGCACCTTAAGGCTTTCAGATTTTCTAGAAACATGTTCTGAGCAATATATGCCATGTCCTGTGATAAAGACAGAGGGCACACACAGGTTCTGTGTCCCCGGGGCTCAGGTTCTGATGGAAAGACAGAACTGTAGGGAATCACTGGGGATGCTGCGTGTTATGTGGAAAGCTATATAAATGGAAAGAATAATTTCCTGTTGAAGTCAGTTCAAATAAAAAAGAAATTTCTTATTACCAGTTTGATTTCAGTAACCATTTTCTTCTAATCACTTGTTTAGGGTGAGACTGGAGACCCCGGTGACCCAGGAGAGAAGGGACAAAAGGGAACTATAGGCAGAATGGTAAGCTTCTGGGACACTGTTTGCTGGGTCCTTCAGCCGTTTGGGAGTCCCGCTTCCTGCAACTGTAATCACTCAGTTGCTTGTTCCCAAATACTAATGCAAGGTCTGAGATTCTTGCTAAGGCAAACTTGAGGAAGGGATGTGAATGTAGTACTCATCTCAGTGCCAGGCGAACGCACCTAGTAAAGAGGTTTGTCCGTTCTGGCCACCTTGGCTCTTATCACTGGAAATACAGTTTTGGTGATCTGAAACAGGTTTTTCACAGCCAAGATGTGATCAGTTGAATCCAGTCTCTTGGCAGATTTAATGCAAGGTAGTGTCCATTGTATCTTACTTTTACTATTCAGATTTTATAAAGCTATTTTTAATAAAGTATATGCTCACAGGTCCTTTCCTCATGAAGGAGTGTGGCTCAGGGGCAGACCAGTGGTCTAGCATTTGTCAGGCCTTCATTTCCGTCCCTGTAATGGCAGGGGAAAAAGTTGTTTTAAAGGAATTGCTAAAATGTTTCCACATTTGGCTCAGGGAGAGATTGCTGGACTTTTTTTCAGAAAAGTTGTGTTGATTGTGTGACGGATTATTATGTGACTATGTTTTTGACCATGACTGTCTTAGGTGCTGTTTATGCTTTCAAACACTCAGAATGAAGGCCAGTCTCCAGCATATCCCATACTCTTCCATTTGCCTCAGGTTCCAGGGTGTTAATAGGTTCATAGAGCCAGCCAGGTAGCTCAGTGGACTAAAGCACCTGCTTAGGCGGCAGCCAGGATTCCATCCCCGGTGTGCCCTGCAGTGCTGGCGCTGCCTCCAGGGTGTGCTGCGATGGCAATTGAGACTGGGCGTGGTGGCGTGTGCCTGTAATCCCAGCTGTTGGGAGGCTGAAAATAGCAGAAAAGTATTGCCCGTTTGTATTGCCCTTGTTCATCTCTTTGTAACTTGCTTATGTCACTACGAGTCCCATCTACATAGTGAGACCCTGTAGA